CTGGTATATCAAATTCTCTATTGCCTAAGAAAGCCATGCCATCTAAATATTAGTCTAATGTAGGAAGTGACACCATTCAAACTAGTTGGGTTCTATGAAGTGGTAAAACTGAGGAAGTCAACTAGACCAAGGAAATATCAGAGACATAATAATAATATCCAGAGAGATCAACAACAAGGTGAGCTAGGGAAAAAGTGGGATACGTATCAGAGGCTAATGGTAGTGCACACAATCTGAGGCCAAGTGGCTTCAGCAGATAGGGATTTAGTGAACTGAGAATAATACAATGATTTTGGGGAAATAGGCCATGCCAGAATGGAATTCAAATGAAAGATCTTTATTAGGAAAAAAAAAAAAAGACAGTTTATGCCCACATGCCAAGAGGGCATTTTACTCCTAAGATGCTGAAATTGTGAAATGGGCTTATAATGGCAATACAGGTAGTCCTCAACTTACAACCACAATTGAGCCAAGAATTTATGTTGCTGAATAAGAAATGTGTTGAGTGAGTTTTGCCCCATTTTACAACTTTTGCTGCTATATTTGTTAAGTGAATCACTGCAGTTGTTAAATTAGTAACACAGTTGAACCTGGCTTCCCCACTGACTTGTCAGAAGGTCACAAAAGGGGATCACATGACCCCAGGACACTGCAACTGTCATATATATGAACCAGTTGTCAAGTATCTGAATGTAAATCATGTGACCATTGGGATGCTGCAATGGTCATGTGGAAAATGGCCACAAGTCACTTTTTAGTGCCATTGTAACTTTGAATGGTCACCAAACTAGTCAGCCTAGGTCTAACTATAGATTCAAAGGCTGGATGCTGTAATAGCAGGTGAGGTCTTCTGATAATATAATTATGCAATTTTGAAAAAGGATCAAGAGAAAAAATAATTAAGGAAAAAGCAAAAAGAAATAAGAAAGACAATCAGCTCAGTGAAAAATGAGCTAACTTCATAAATAAATAAATAAAATCAAAGGTTTTTGAAGCAGCCACATGGAAAAATATGAGAGTCCTGACAAAAACTTGTCCACATTGTACAATGTCCCAAACATGGCTGTATGCAGGTATATATAACCACGATAAATTATTGATGGATGTGAACTATTTCAATAACTGAATAGATTTGAAATGCCTAAAACAAAGTAAGTAAGATGACAGAAAACAGCAGATTATATCACAAGAGCAAGGCTGAATCAATGGACAAGATAATCAGCACTACTGGATAAAGAAAGTCAACCAAACCTGAAGGTTACAACACTGTTGTCAACAAGATGATGGTCCCTGATTGTTGCAGAGACTGATTACAAAGAAGTTCACAAGTAAAATGCAACAACAGATAATGCTCTCAAAACAAAGAGATGTTTTGTCAGAAACACGCTTATCTAGGGCAACAATAACCAAGACAGTTTTCTCACAACAAGGGTAAGTTTCTCATATGTTGCACAGAAAACATATGCCAAGAAGATAGCAAGATCTCTTCCAGCTGTAAATGTTCAAAGGGTATTGCCTCAAAGTGTAAACATTGGAGCTCTCCAATTATAAATACCACTGAAGTAACTATCACAGCTAAACTTCTAACTGTGCAAAATGGGTCATTTTGGAGAAACGACTGTGCAAGCATGAGATGAGCATTTTTTAATAGTATAGTGTTGCAGTAAATGAGGTCTTGGCCTTATAACTGGATCAAAGATCCAGTCTCTGTGAATCCTTGATGATTCTGTCCTGCTTAGGAGTAACATTTCAGCAAATTAAAATTGCACGTCACAGCATTTCTCAGTGTGAATTCTGGATTAATTTCTCCATTAGTATTATATTAAGGTAATTTTGTCCTTATTTGGTATTGCATCCTCCCATGATCTCATTAGGATGGGATGACTAAAAGGAGAAAGTAATTTTTATATAAAACTAAAGTACTAAAATGATAATAAATTATTCCAGACTTTATTTTTTTGCAAACATAATAGCTATGGGAACTCTTGTGGTATAACAGGCTTTTGAATAGTTGTATTTATGATTTAACTGTGGTTATTTCTTTCTCTTTGTGAATCTTCTTTTTCTTTTTCCCCTGAGTTTGTATTTTATAGAAAGCATTCACATTTTGTTAAAAATTATTATGTATAGCAAGTATAAGAATTGATAGCAAGTATAAGAATTCCTAGTGAGAATATGAAGGGAAGACTGTTTTCTGAAATTAGATATGAGTGGAAGGTTCTCAAATTGTTGAGGAATTATTCCTCTATTGATATGATTTTGCCTTGCAATTTGCACATATTGCTAGAGATTCTGAAGTGAATATTTTGGGTATCACTCAGGCCATATTTACTGATCCTTGCCTATGGTGAATATGGTGAAGAGTTGTGGTGGCACAGAAATTAGAATGCAGTACTGCAGGCTACTTCTGCTGACTGGTGGTTGCCCTGCAGTTTGGCAGTTTGAGTCTCACTGGTTCAAGATTGAGTCAGTCTTCCATCCTTCTGAGGTTGGTAAAATGAGGACCCAGATTGTTGGGGAAAATATCCTGACTATGTAAACCAATATAAGTCTAAGTGCTATTGCTATCTCATGCAGAGACTTTGAAAACTTCTGAGCATCTGTGAATTACAGGGATAAGTAAATAGCAACCAACAAGTGTTGTTTAAAAGTATCATGGCTGGCAATATTATGATATTCTCATTCAGTTTTCCATAATCTCAGTGGGATCCCAACATTTTATGAAATGTAGGCTAAATGTAGACGAAATTCAGTTGTCTAAGATTTCTTCACTTGTTTCCATATGACATAAGTATGTAGTGAAAAGTCTGTTCAATGTTAGGAATGCACCAAGATAGCTAATATCCCATGACTCTTGGAAACACAGAGGTGACTGCATTTATATCTGGCTTCTTCTTGTAGGCTATAAATGCACAATTTTGTTTCCAAGGAGTAAGAAGTATTGCTGCTTTATTATAGGTCTTTATATTGTTAAAAATAGCATTCAGTTATTTTCATAGAACTGCAGGTAGCTTTCAACTTACAACCACAATTGAGTCAAAATTTATGTTAAGTTTGTTAAGTGAGTTTTGCCCCATTTTACAACTTTTCTTGCCACCCTTGTTAAATGAATCACTGCAGTTGTGAAGTTAGTAACCCGACTGTTAAGTGAATCTAGCTTCCCCACTGACTTTGCTTTCAGAAGGTCGCAAAAGGTGATCACATGATCTTGGGACACAGCAAAGGTCATAAATATGAACCAGTTGTCAAGCATCTAAATTTTGATCACATGATTGTGGGGTTGCTGCAAAGGTTGTAACTATGAAAAACAGTCCTAAGTCACATTTTTCAGAGATGTTGTAACTTCGAATGGTCACTAAATTGAACTGTTGTAAGTCAAGGACTACCTGTATCGAGTGTCCATCAACCCTAAGAGCTACTGCAGTTTTGACTCTAGAAAAGGGGAATTTGACTCCACTTGCTAATTCAGAACAAGATGTTGTCTCTGAGTCTAATATGCATTATGGAATGCTATAAAGAAGAATTGGCAGTACACTGCATGGGGATTCTAGGGGAAAGATGGCTAATAACATTAATTTATTTGCAGCTGTTGCTTTAATATTGTCATAATTTCTACAGCTTTTTATATGATACAAAAATAGAAATGTATGGGAACATTTAAACATACATTGTTATTCCTTAAAAAAAAATAGGGAGATGTACCGGAGGGAAACTGTGTGTTGGAAAAGGCAGAATTTGAGCCAGATATCATATAACAATTCAATTGATTCCAGCATAAACTATGTGCAGTTAACTTGGTCTAAATCCAAGCCTACGAAGACTCTGATGCAAATTAATTGAATATATTGCTGAATGTTTGTTGACGAAGATAATTGGAGATTGTTTTGTATTATATATCGGATAGGAAGCATAAATATGGCAGGTCTACACACTATTTTGAACCAAAAGAGAAATTTGGAAACAAATCAATTTTGCCTTGAATGTCAATAAAACATTATGAATCAATAAAATGCATTTAATGATGAGCTTTGGCAACATCATTCTGCAAAAGAATTGAAACTTGAAATAGAGCCAAATATGACAAGTAAAAGAAAAGTGAATACACAGTATCAATCATTCTTGCTCAATTTGGCTGCAACTGTGCTTATGAACTATAGCTGAAATTGGGATGGATATACATATTCAGGCAGTCATAGTATCTTCATGGCTGTATCACATTGTGTTAAGGCTTTTTCAGTTTATTATATAGCCATCCTTTTTCCTTCTGTCTGGGCCACTTTTTACAGGGGCACAATTGAGAGCATTTTAACAAACTGCATCGCTGTTAGGTTTGGTGGTAGCAGTGCCTCAGATAGAAAGTCCATACAGAGAGTGGTAAGTACAGCTGAGAAGATTATAGGAAGATCACTTCCTGTTATTTAGGATACTGCTTGTGTTATGTGCTTAGAGCTCAAAGCATTGTTTGAGACCCCACACACCCACTTTATGGTCTGTTTCAGTTGTTCCCCTCTAGGAGGAGGTTTCAAAGTATTTCTAGCAGGACTATCAGATTCTGTAACAGCTTTGTTCTCTATGCCATCTGTCTAGTAAACTCGCAAGATTTGTTTTTCTTGCCATGTACACGTATACATCCAAACTAGACTATGTTGTTTCCCTGTGTCATGTAATATATGCATAATTTTGCATTTATTTATTTATTTATTTATTTATCTATTTTGTCATGTTTATGTAGTGTATATTGGAAGTGGTGACCCTTTGAGAGCTGTATGCAACACAATTTTATTTTAATGTATGCCGATTAGTGTACATGCAAAATGACAATAAAGTTATTCTAAATATTAAGTCTAAGTCTATTCTGTCTGTTAGAAATGGTTTCATACACACACACACACACACACACACACAAATGACATGGATCTAGCATCCACTATGTAGACAGATGGACATAGAGATATATAAACTGCAGTTTTGCACTGAAGCATTGCAGAATGTTTTTGTACCTTTATGGCAGTGGAAGCAATCTGAATATGGTGAAGTCTTCTCAGGGTGCTGTCCCTGTCAATAAAGTAAGAGGCCGCCAGCTGGTGTAGTGTTTCCAGAGTCACCGTGGTACTGTTAATGCTGGGATCACTTGTTTCTGTTCGTTTACTCAGCTTCCGCTTGTCCACAAAAATTGTGAGAGACTCTTCTCCTGTGCAAGAAATAGCACAAAAAAAGTCAAAGAAGTTTATGGCCCTTATTTTGTCTTTTTTTCATTTTTTATGACATAACTAGCATTAATCCTATGCACCTCATCTGCAAGGAAATTACTAGAAGTAGGAACTCTGGCATGAAAAATATCTAGGTAGTTAGAGGACAATTTTGCTTGGTCTACATTTTAAACAAACCAAAAGACAATTATGCTTTCAAATTCACATTTTTTTCCTATAATGTTTACTACTTTCCATACTTTGACATTGCTGTTCATCAATCAAAAGTGAAGGTATACTAAAGGTATACACAAAATATCTATGTTAATTAAAGTAATACATCAATTGTTTTCTATTATAGAATGACAATACAAAAATGAGTATATGAGAAAACAATGCACAGCCAAAGCATGTTTCATATATGTTAGGATCATTTTCTTGGGTGTTGCTGTTTGCTTTGCGCCACAATCTAATGCAGATATGAAGTGAACATGTTGAACTATTCATATACATTGATTGTAGATTCTGATCATAATATATTTACTTAGTAAGATTCTAGAAATAACGTTGGGAATTACTCTTATCTAAAGCCTAATAGGATCAATAACAAGCTAAAATAAACTATTGCTTATTCTAACTAACTTTAAATATTAATAGCTTTATTTCATATTCTTCATCTATGCTGTGCAGTGGTGGGATTCAATTTTTTTTACTACCAGTTCTGTGGGCATGGCTCAGTGGGCGTGGCAGGGAAAGGATACAGAGGATTCAACCGGTGTTCCTACCGGTTCAGTACTTACGCCGTGCGCGCATGTAATACAATGAAAGCTATGCCTCCTGGACAGCTGATAAGTGCTGCAAGTGGGTGTGCAGCATTTGAAAAAAATCTTTTTTATTGATTTTTCAGCCTCAGCTGTGCCATGCAAAGCAAAGAGGTTGAAAAAGCAGGAAATAAAGATCAGGTAAGAGCCTAGGAGGGCAAGTGGGCCAAACAGCAGCAGATGCAGAAACGGTTCTGTATCTGATGCTCTTCAGAGCTACCGGTTCTACAAAGCCGGGCAGAACCAGTAGCATCCCACCTCTGGAAGGATACTGTAAAATCTCCAGTCAGAGGTGATATTTGCTGGTTCTCTGAACTACTCAAAATTTCTGCTACGGGTTCTCCATTACTAGTCAGAACCTGCTGAATGCCACCTCTGATGCTGTGTATGAAAGAAACAAAGTACAACTTGAATAATAGATCTTTAAGAATTTCACATTAAAATCAACACAGATATTAATGTAAAACCTAATGTTAAACTGTGAAATACTTACTGCAAATTAAGGTTTGAATGTAAAATGTATATTTGTGATTTAGAGAATTATTCATGGGGGAGGGGGGAGGGAGGAAGGAAGGAGGGAAGGAAAAATTAATAGAACAGCAAAAGGACTGGAAAAATTACTCTACAGCCTTAATTGTATGTATTTATTCAATATTTCTTAAAACAGTATTTTTAGTATACACAAATTCATAACTAGAAAGATTGCCATCCATATGGAAGACCAACAATCTCATTACCTTTGGATTGTTCAAGCTACCCTTCAGTTAGGATTAATTCTACACAGGTATAACATTTATATTCACAATTTGCAGTGAGTAAGGAAAGTGACTATGACAAAATTACGCAAAATTCTATTATTATATCTCAATAAAGCATAGCGCTAATCTTCCTATGGCATTGATTTTCTGGTCTGGTCTACCTAGTGGAACTAAAACATTGTGAATTCTGGAGACAGTATTTGCTTTCACAACTCTGGAGAGATGTTGAAGATTTAAGACAGATGTCTTTTCAATGTAAAAATAACATTGAACATTGCTTTGATGTTATCCTATCTGTCAGCCCCATACCTGAGCCTGCATGACTGGCTAATTCCTATATTGAGAGAAGAAAAAACCATAACAAACTGAAACGTTATATCATAAAGTTATGATGTGAGCAGAGAGAAACTAGAACTGCAGTTTTGTTATGCTTTTCCCCCATGATTTTCTTGATCAGGATAGGAACTGAAATAATGAACCTATATATATTTATTCAGAAGCAAGACTCGTGATACTTCTTCCCAAGCAACTTGCCTTTGCCCTTATTCAATGATTTCAGACATATATACGGAACATACACATATTTATATACATATAAATTTATATATGTATAATTTATATACATATACATATTTATATACCTCTCAGACTGTCTATATCTAATCTATCTATCTATCTATCTATCTATCTATCTATCTATCTATCTATCATCTACTATCTATCTATCTATCTATCTATCTATCTATCTATCTATCTATCCATCCATCCATCCATCCATCCATCCATCCATCCATCACAATATAGTATTTATGTTTTCAACTGAAATTCATCCTGTGGATTTTTATTTATGCAACCTCTTCAAAATACTCTAGAGTTCCTCTATTCATTTTAATTTTGTGTCAAAGAATTAACAGAAATGCATTGTCATGCTACATCATTTCAGAAAGAGCTGAAGAAGAATTAGAAAATGGCAGGTTGCAATATTGAATTAAATTCATAAATATCTTCGGAATGGCTATATGAATTAGTTTAATAGGGATTCAAGTTATAAGGCCCTGTACTGAAGGCATTACTAAAATAAGCAGACAGCTTTAGCTAAATATTCATAAATATGATTTGGGAGCCTATATTTATATTGTGCATAATAATAGATATTCTGATGATTGAAACATTTGGAATTTTCTGTTTTTTGTTTTATTTTTGCTTTAATGTAGACATATTTTTGAAGCCTGTCTTCTCATGCTATAAAATTATTAGTGATGCAAGGAACATAAATTGCACAGAAAGTAATTATCCATTTTTGAGGAGCAGCTAGGCAATATATATTGGTCACATTTACGACCTAATAAACCTTATGACCTTATGACCTAATAAAAGTGTGTTTTGGAAAGTCAAAATCTGCAAGTTGGCAGGGCATGTCCTGCTTCTTTTGTACATGCATCAACAACACAGATCTGTCCAAAAAAGTCATGGTTTGGCTTATAATATTACACCTGTCATCTTGCAGATTTTAAAATCTTTCAGATTTCGTTCTGCACAACACAAAAACGTTTCTCCCTAAAATAGGAGGTATTGTTATGATATAACTTTAGAAGACTACCTTCTCAGTTTTATAAATTGTTATTTATAATTATAAACTGGACATGGTATTCATGAACATGATAACATGCAATGCATTGGACATATACATAGGAGAGATGGATAGATAGACAGAATATTAGTATAGTACTACATGTTGTTTTGATTGAAAATTAAAATATTCCTAGGACAGGTGGAATGTTTGTCAAATATGATATATAACTGAAAGGCATACCACTTTGTTTTACTCTCAGTAGAATAGTTTATTGGCTTGTGTACTAAAAATTTTGCATTTCAGTTGAAACAACATTTAACAAAAATTTTAGTCATAAAAAATCACTATAGTCAAATAAGAAAAGAATTGCTTAAGAATGGCTGTATTTCCTCAGAATAGCTTTTAAAACAAAACTCAACAAAAACTTGTCTTAAGTTTCCATGGGCAACCTTCTTCAGTGCCCATGTATACAGAGATCATGGGAACATTTTAGAGGTCCCTTCCAAGGGAGACAGAAGTGGCAGAGGCAAATAAACTATTGTGCACCCATTTGCCAAGCTAGCTTTCTTGCCTGTGAATACAAATGTTTGGCAGCTCTGCTAAAAATCACAAAATACAACATTGGCATTCTCCTTTTTTACTGACAAGGCATTGAGAATAAAGTAACAATTGGAGGAAAGAGAAACATTTATTTGGGGAAACCAATTTCTTAACTCAAATCTTTAAAAAGCAGAGCACAAGGGATACAGTGTCTTCATTTGAGACAGATCTGTCTGATCTATAATAAACCCACAAAGAAATGATTCAAAATAACACCTGATTCATACAAAAGACATGGCTCTTTAATGTAATTAACTCCCACTCAGGTGTCTCATCTCTTATTGATGTGGATTCCAATTATGATAATTTTTTTCACAATTTTAACTTTGACTTTCAAATGTTCTAAATTCCAGAGAACTGCTATATATAATTGCATATTGGATATCAAATATTGCTATCCCTAGAAACCAAATGTCAACAATGGGATTCAAGGTGGATTGGACTTAGCTTTTGTGTGGATGCAAGAGATTCAAGACTGATGATGCATTTGATCCCTTCCTCAGAGTCAGCATAGTCATTTCTCAACTTAATTTTGAATAATTTCATCTTGTACTAGTAAATGTAGCTAAATTTCAAAGCATGTCAAATTAAAAAATGCATACTTAATGATACCAATTTAGTCATTTTATTTCAAAATTCAGTTCAGAAGATCCACTGAATTATATGGGAGTTAGGATCAAGCCAATAGGCAAAAGATTATAGAATATATGTAATGCATATATAAACATGCATTTCTAAGAATTCAACTATCTCATAGTTCATAGCTGAGAGACTGGGACAGTATAGACATTCTGTAATGGTTTTTATTTTCTATATGTAGATACCTACATAAGTCGGGCTTCTTTGCCGCATATGCATTTTATATTCTTAAATCTTTTTGATAAATCTTCCATTGTCATGCACAATTGAATATAATGTTTCCTTTCACATTTGATGTCTATAAGAGACCAGCTTCCCAATTCTCTTTTTTGACAAAGCTTCCACATATCTTGATTAATATTTATTAAATGTTAAGTGTCTGCAAATACTAAAGACCTATCATACATCACTCACAGGGTAAAAGAGCACTGGAATTGAGTTAGGTGAATATTGAATTTTTCTTTCAATATTCACATGACAAGTTGACCTTCTGAGAGGATTGTGTAATCATAACAGAAGTTTAAACATCCCGAGGAGCTGGTAGAAAACAATTCATTGAAATGTTTCATTTTATAACATGGAAATCTTTTCATTGTAGGCCCAAGGTCATGTGAACAATTCTTGGGCAATTGTTAGGGTGTAATAACCTTGAAAGATTTTTCCCTTTTACATAGACTTAATTTTTAATAAAAAAATAAAAGTAATTCCTCTTTTTAAATCCATTTCTTGTAACCTGATAACAAGAGGTCTCCAACCCATCACAACTTTGTTCACTCTCAGAGATTCAGTCATTCTTTAAGGTAGTCCTCAAATTACTTCTTGCTTTGGAATAACTTTGTTTTGGTGGGAAAGTCCAAGATAGAACAATAAACAAAAAACAGCCGTTGACAGATATCAAGGACAAGAGGAGGGCAAGAATGGGAAGAAGAGAACATAGGATAGACCATTTCATCAGTATGTTTCTTGCATTAAAACATTTCCTCAAGAAATGTAAAAGGTGCATTTCCATGTTTCATGAGGAAATAAAAGATTTACTCAAGTACGATTTTGAATCATGCAGAAGAGTTGGTGATAGATTCCTCCTCCCCCCCCCCCCCCAAAAAAAAAATTCCAATAGTTTTCAGTCCAACTTGAACAAAACACTTTTAATAAAATTGTAGGGGCAACAAACTTGCATGGGCATAGCATTTCAGCCAGAGACTGGTTGTATAGCACTTCAAAATGGGCAATTTTTGGCACAACTTATTCATAGCCTGAAACTGAAAAAACATACCATGTTTTTATTAGTATTTTATAAATTTTACAATTGAACTGTCAATCATGGCACAATGGGCACACACACTATAGCAGGCATGCTTTCATTTTTCATCCATTTGGTACTTTTCTACCAAAAAACAAAACCGGATGAAGCTTAAAATGTTGTAATCTTAAATGACAAAAGGAAGCTACAACTAGAAGGACTTCTATAAAATTAATACTATAGTGAAATTCATGTTGCTTCCAAAACAGGACGAAGGGACTGTCGTTTTCTCCACATATATCTGAGATGTTGCCTGCAGAAAATAAATCAAAGATGAGCAGGTTTTTTTTTACAAAGTTATTTTCCAAGATGGCCAGCAAAAGGCTATTCAATCTCAATAATTATCTTTAAATTATCCTCATGAAAGGATAACATTCTTTTTGTTTCCATTGTCACTTTGTTCATGCAGCTGCGTGCATGAACAATTTGAGCACCAATGATCTTTCTTGCTGCATAATTCCACCAAATTTTCTCAAAGGTTTATCAATCCTTGATTACTGAAAAATAAATGGTATCCTATCCACCAAAATAGATGGTGTTCTCAGTTCCTGAGCTGCAAATCTGGTTTGTAGATTTGAAAAATAAATCATGTCCATGAGAAGTTTCAGATCTATGTTAGTTCTCCAAGAATACCTCTGCTTTGTCTGGAGTGAGTTCATTTTTCTAGCTCTCATCCAAACTGTAATTATTTCAGGTGCTGGTGCAATATTTTTTGTATGATTCCACTGAACTTCACAAGAACGTATAGTGATGCTGAATGTGAGAAGCAAAGTGACAAATCATTTATCATATCCTTAAGTGACCTCACTCAGCAATGTCATATAAATCAAAAAGAGAAATAGATTCTGCAGCTCATCAGAACATTATGATAATCTTTCCAGGGTAACCTTCTGAAATGGAAAAAATGGAAATGGGGAAAAAATGGAGCACAGCATCTCTAAAGCAAACTTTGGATCCCACAAACAGTAAAAAAAAACAAAAAAAAAAAACCTCCAAGGAAGTTATTGGGTAATATTGCTTCACCTTCCTCTTGACACAACAATCATCAATCACTTTATGCCAAACCCAGGAACAGAAAACAGATTAGAATACATCAAAATAATCAGTGTGGAAACAAGCATATATTTGGCTTTCAGCAGAGAAAGAAATGCTCTCTTTGTGACCTGCTGTGCAGTGACAATAAAGGACCATCTCAAGTCACATTGACTTTTCTTCTCCTTCCCCCCCCCTTCTAAGATATTCATTGTAGAATACTTTTAACTACAAAAAAAAAAAAAAAAAAGAATCGATACTGTTTTACTCCCATATAAGTGTGCATGTAACTGAAGTTTTGCAAACATAATGTATCTCTTGAAGTTGCTCTGATTTGCAATTTCTAATCCTACGAACAATTTCTTTTCCCCAATTAAGCATCATATAATCAATCATCATCATCAATCATCACCATCATCTTGACTTTTATTTAAAATTAAAAAAAAAGATAATCCCATCAGAGTTTTGATGTCTTTTCTGAAAAAAAAATGAATGCATTGTCCCACTCTCTTTATTTTCAGACTAAAATTGCAGATAACTCCTACGGTGAGAGAATAACCTAATGGGAATTGGGAAGATATATTCCAGAGTCACAGATAATAATCAATTAAAAGCACATACTGAAACTATGGCTGTACAAAATGCTTTACTGCAGATAAAGAGTCCTGGGCTATAGTTACTAACTGCAGATTGAATAACACTGGATAATGAGGCTGAAAATAATGAAGATCATCTGTATGGTTATAGACTACTACCTGAGCTGAAGGAGTACCTATTTTAATGAAAATGATCTTACCTCCCAAGGTAGCTGACAGCAGAAAGTGGGTCCCATACTTCTTGATAAGGTTTTCTGTGATCTGTTGAAGAGTCGGCCTACGTCCTAGTAGCCTTACATTTCGGAAAAATTCAGGGGCAAGAGGCAATGGGGAGCCAAGAAAATTCTTTCTCTCAACAGCTAAGTTGTTTACCTTCCAACGGCCAAATTCCCTAGAAGAAAAGAAATATCATTTTAAAAATGCACAGTTCCATTTTTCTCCTTCTGCATGGCATACTGGAGAAGGCTCACCTGTGATAACTCTGTCAAGCACTAAATCAGGGATGAGCAATTCAAACCCTTCAAGTTAGTTTGGATTTCAAGAAAAAGAAATTGATATCATTCTGGATTGTTCAATCACAAGACATAGTAAGAATTAGAATTCATATTACTCAGCTGGGGGAGATACTAAACTACAGTTGTGATAATAAGTCTACATACCCTGGCAGAATTTATGATTTCTTGGCCATATTTCAGAGAATATGAATGATAACACAAAAACTTTTCTTTCACTTGGTTGGCTGAAGCCATTTATTATCAATCAACTGTGTTTACTTTTTTAAAATCATAATGACAACAGAAACTACCCAAATGTCCCTGATCAAAAGTTTACATACCCTGGTGATTTTGGCCTGATAAAATGCACCCAGGTTGGCACAAAGGGGTTTGAATGGCTATTAAAGGTAACCATCCTCACCTGTGATCTGTTTGCTTGTAATTAGTGTGTGTGTATAAAAGGTTAATGAGTTCCTGGACTCCTGACAGATCCTTGCATCTTTCATCCAGTGCTGCACTGATGTTTCTGGCTTCTGAATCATGGGGAAAGCAAAAGAATTGTCAAAGGATCTGTGGGAAAAGGTAGTTGAACTGTATAAAACAGGAAAGGGATACAAAATGATATCCAAGGAACTGAGAATGCCAATCAGCAGTGTTCAAACACTAATCAAGAAGTGGAAAATGGGGGGTTCTGTTGAAATCAAACCACGGTCAGGTAGACCAACTAAAATTTCAGCCACAACTGCCAGGAAAATTGTTTGGGATGCAAAGAAAAACCCATAAATAACTTCAGGTGAAATACAGGACTCTCTGAAAACATGTGGTGTGGCTGCTTGAAGATGCACAATAAGGAAGCACTGGAAGAAAGATGGACTGCATTGTCAAGTTGCCAGAAGAAAGCCATTACTATGCAAATGCCACGAAGTATCCCACTTACAATACACCAAACAGCACAGAGACAAACCTCAAACCTTCTGGAGTGATGAGAGCAAAATTGAGCTTTTTGACCACAACCATAAATGCTACATTTGGGGAGGAGTCAACAAGGCCTATGATGATACACCATTCCTATTGTGAAGCACGGAGGTGAATCACTGATGTTTTGGGGATGTGTGAGCTACAAAGGCACAGGAAATTTGGTCAGAATGGATGGCAAGATGAATGCAGTATATTATCAAAAGATACTGGAGGAAAATTTGCATTCATCAGCCTGGAAGTTGCACATGGGATGTACTTGGACATTCCAACATGACAATGATCCTAAACACAAGGCCAAGTCAACTTGTCATTGGCTACAGCAGAATAAAGTGAAGGTTCTGGAGTGGCCATCTCAATCTCCTGACCTCAATATCATTGAACCACTCCGGGGAGATCTCAAATGTGTAAGACAGCCCAAGAATTTACAGGAACTGGAGGGTTTTTGCCAGGAAGAATGAGCAGCTTTACCGTCTGAGAAGATAAAGAGCCTCATCCACACATACCACAAAAGACTTCAAGCTATCATTGATGTTAAAGGGGGGCAATACACTGTATTAAGAATTGGGGTATGTAAACTTTTGATCAGGGTCATTGGGTAGTTTCTGTTGTCATTATGATTTAAAAAGAGTAAACACAGTTGATTGATAATAAATGGCTTCAGCCAACCACTAACCGTGAGTGAAAGAAAGGTTTTTGTGTTATCATTCATATTCTCTGAAATATGGCCAAGAAATCATAAATTCTGCCAGGGTATGTAAACGTATGAACACAACTGTATCTACTCCTTCATTAGCCTCTTACAACAAGCAACAAACAAATTGGAGGGAGACAGATTTCTTATGAGAGAAAAGCACAGGCTTTTTTTTTTTAAAAAAATAATGCAGTTGGTTTCTTTTATGTCATATAGTGCAACTATCATTAACAAGCTGATTTAGTTTCCCAGACTAAATTACTTGCATTCTGTTCAAATGATTGATTAGAATGCCTTTTATTTGTGCTATGTTTGCAAAACAGAGCTTTTCATGTCAATTTTTCCTTTCATGTCAAATTTCTGCCATGTGATTAAAAGTGGAGTGAAACTTTGTTACTCATTAAATTCCCTAGTTTTTGCTTCTTTGCAGAGGAACTTGTGAAATCCATTGAATTGCAATTGCTTTAACTTTCTTTCCATAACACTGAAGGGTAACTATATGTAATTAGCTACAGAATAGTGTTGGCCTTGTTCCAATATAATGTGATGACCGCTGACTATAGAGAGGAGCAATGGCGAGGGACAAAATATATTCTATAATTTTGTGATGCAAATTCTATCCCTTACATAGTTGTAATTGATGTTATAATACAAATACAAAGGGGCAGAGTTTACAAATACAAAGGGGCACAATCTTATATTGCACATTTTAACATTCTGCCATCATCATGATTAGAAACAGATACCTCTATCCCTGATTAGGAGTATACACTATAAGCACATAGTAAGAGAAGAGGAAATACAGAAGAACATTGCGGCCTGAGGAAGTATGGAGATCTCACAAAGGAAAGATAATTATTCTCACTCATATCATATATAATTCTTGTTTATTCTGTTTGTATGGCCAAGCCACTCCAACATACTTTTTTGTAATTGTCCACTCATTTTTGTATTTAATCCACATTTGTTCAGTCCAAATTCATTCTTGATCTTAGCCCTTTTACCACACATTCTTCAAATGACTTATTCAATTTAATTTTATAGTCCCCTGACTTTTATTTCTGTGTACAAAGCAAGTACAAACATAAACAGTAATTTTCATTTCATTTGATGCACATTCATTCTTTGCAATAGATTGTATATTATACATGAATTTTCTTTTAGCATTTGTATGACTTAAAATGTCTTCATCTGTTTACCCATCTTAAATGAACATTTTATCAAAAAATCCAAACTCCATGTAGCCTCTCCCTATTTTTATTTATTTTTTTCATTTCTCTTATCAAACAAACTGCCTTAGTCTTTAATACATTAATTTTCAAATCAATTCTTTTCATTGTATCATATAACTTATCTAATAAATTTATTCATTTTTAATTAACAAAAAATCACATTCTCAACCAACAATCCTTTAATGCCATCTCTAATATTAGTTTGGACAATCAAAAGAACATCACAGTTCCTTCTCTTAGTCTGGATTTAATGTTCAACTATTTGCTAGGCAGTTTCTTCTCATATGTGCTTGCTTTCCCTCACACAGAATTCTTACTGCATTCAGCAACCAACCTTCACCTCTATATTTGAGCAATATGTGTTCCTTCCAGTCAGTTTGACTTCTGAAAAATACCTGAATAAACCCCTCAATTTTCTTGACATGATTTTCAGAAGTGATGTACCATTGCCTTGAGCCTTGTGATGTTCTAACCTGTTGCCTTAACCACTATACCAAACTGGCTGTCTTATTTATGTAGAACAGGGGTGTTAAACTTGGGCAAGGGGTGCCTAGATCTAGCCTACGGGGCCACCTTGGAAATAGAACCAGCCTGCGGTACTTCTGCCAAGCTCCATTTTTGCTGGCAATAGGTTGCAGGAGGCTGTTGCAGCCGAAAAGTGAACTCGGGATCTGGTTTTCTTTTTTTTTAAAACAAATTTTATTTTCAAGACAAACAATACATAAATACACATAAACACAAAAACATAATAACATAAAAAATCTCTTTTCTGAAAGTTGCTTAGTCCCAGGTTAAAACTCTTGGTACAGACACAAATTCAAATTCATATTCATTTATACCATTTCATATCTTATTAACATTTTCAATTTTCTATATGACTTCTCCTCTCTTTCAAATTTTCTCTATTTTATTTTATTTTATTTATCTCCTCTCAATTCATATCATAATACTTATTATTCTTTGTCTGTTCTATTCCAGCCAACCATTTATTTTTCTTCTTTAAAAAAAGAAGAAAGACTTCTCCTGTACACTATATGGAGTATGATGCCTTTATCTCTTTCCCCACTTAATATAAAACACATGACATACATTGGGATTCTGTCTGGTACATTCTAAAATTATACTATATTATCAAAAGTAATACAAATCTATTCATTAATATTGATATTCATTCATATCTTAAACGTTTAACTCATTGCTTTTCAATTAAATCACATACTTTTGTGGGAGCCCTATTTTCCATAATTATCCCCCCCCACATCACATATTATAGCTCGATATTTCATTAAAATGTTCCTCCCTTCTACTTCAAATCACATTTCACAAAAAATTTCACTAATATACGATATTCTAATCATTAATATTAACAATCATTTATATCTTAAACGTTTTATCCATTTCAATTAAATATCATGCCTTTGTGGGAACACTTATGCTTTCCAAAAAGTATTACCCCCCCCCACATCACAATCTTGAATCATATTTCATTACAGTACTCCCTTTTTCTTAACCAAAAATTTCACTAATTTATATTAAATATTTTATCACATTTTAAGTTACATATTGTTTCTAATTTTCTATGATTACTTCTAAATACAGGTATAAAAATGCAATCTTATGTTGCATTTTTATATTTGTATTTAGAAATAATTATAGAAGATTGGAAATAATATGTAATTTAAAATGTGATAAATATTTAGTATAATTTAGTGAAATTTTTGTTAAGAGAGGGGAGTACTTTAATGAAATAATGATTTAAGATCGGTGATGTGGGGGGGGAGTAATTTTGGAAAGTATAAGAAGTGTTCCCATAAAGGTATGATAATTAATTGAAATGTGTAAAATGTCTAAAGATATAAATGATTGTTAATACCAATGATTATATGGCTATGTTATAATAGTGAAACTATTCGTGAAATGAGGTTTGAAGAAGGAGAGGGGAACATGTAATGTAATAATGATTTATAATATGTGATGTGGGGGATGGAACTAATAT